CCCACTGATCAAATCTGACACCAAATTTGCAATTTTCAAGACTGTGCATGTGAATTTCAGAGGGCTTTGAAAATAAAACCCAGCTCTTAAACAGAAAGCTCAGTTCCACTTTAACTACAGGATGGCTAAAACACTTCCTTTCCCCCACCATTTGTCTGTCTTGCCTATTTACATATCCAGCCCTTCAGAGCAGGAATGGCTTCTTACTGTGTGTGTACAGCCCCTAGCACAGTCATACTCAGACTGAGGCTCGGGAGCCGCAATGGGCTCTTTAATGTGTCTCCTGCGGCTCTTTGCAGCCAATGATATTAAAACACTGTGTGATTATTAACCAATCCAAGTTATTAACCAATCAGGATTCTTTTACTATGTTATTAACCAACCGTAATTGATAAAATAATACTACTTGGTCAGAATAACCGAGAAAATATATAACTAGTAAATGAAACAATGAAGTCACACGACTGTGGCTCTTTTGGGTGATGTTGATCACTAATTTGGCTCCTGAACCACTGAGCTCTGAGTATCACTGTCCTAGCAGAGTAAGTTGGGCCTATGGGAATACAATCAACCAGAATGTGCACGTCTGCTGCCCATGCTATCCCAGTTCTGGGAAGACACTGAGGATTTCGGTCTCCAAGGCCAGGTATCTTTTATTAATTATTGAAATTCCCTTTTCAAGTATGGGATATTGATACTTTTCAGCTGATGGGAAAGAGGATTTTGAGAAATGCTCAGCCTGGGCCTGAGTCGTCACTGGGGCCAGCGCCTAGTGCTTTTCAACCCACCTACCCTAATGTTATTGATAGGGAGAAAATGAAAACTCAGCAAAGAGCGACTGAGTCCTGGGGCTGTTTGCCATTCTTCCGCTTTTATCGGAAGCGCTGTTTGCTGGAGATGGGTGACGTTGTTTTGGATTTTGAAATAAAATTTTAAAAATGGGGAAAATCTTCAACAAGAATTTCACAATCTTTTTTCAACCAACCCTTGAGCTGCTGGGAAATTTAAACCAAGTAAGATTGGGGGGGGAGGGGGGTTCCTATAAGATTCCACCCTCCCCCTTTTTTTGACCAGCTCTATTATTTATACCCAGCACTGTGCAGCAGCAGCTGTGAGCACTGTAAATTGATTTATCAGCTTCAGAGAAACATCACTAGGTCAGATTGCATGTGGGGGTGGGTATGGGTTGGAAGGGAACCTTCATGCCCAGAGCTCTCTGCAGAGCATGTTCTGCACTGGCTAAGGTAGATTGCAAACTGTTTAGGCAGGGACCATCTTTTTGTCCTGTCTCTGTACAGCCCCTAGCGCAATGAGGTCCTGTCATGACCGGGGCTCCTATCAAAATACGCCTAACAGATCATAATTGGCTTGGCTGAGGGGGAAGGTGCCGGGACGTGTGCAATGTGTTTGGTCCACATCGGCCCCATTGCTTGGGTTTGTGTGTGTGCGGCTCCTGGCTGCTCGGCTTTATGCCAGGGGCCACAGCACACCCAGGGCATCCCAGAACCACATGGGTGGGCAAAGGTGGCTTAAAGCCATTCCCCCGGGCGGTGCCTTTCTGCGCTGCACCTCTGCAAGGCACAGCACACCTCACAATTCCAGCTCAGGATTCTAGCTCAAAGGGAATGAAAATAAACCAGGGTCTCAGGGCCCACGGGTGCCAAGCTGGCCATCATTCCCAGATCTCGTCACCATTAACTGCCGTGCCCATCACCGCCTACAGGAGGGAGAGCTCGCAACGCAAAGGCCCACAGACTCGCGGCTCTCGGGCTCCCCTTTTGTTTTCCTGCCAACTCGGTACTTTTTGGCAGTGGAAGGCCATTTCCTTTTCAGGCTGTGTGAGTGGAGCGGGCGTGTAAACGAAAGCCAAGCCTGTCCTCAGTAACCACGGAGACGAGGAAACGGTACGCCAATGGTTTATTGTAAAGTGCCTAGCCCGTTACAAATAGTGTCCACGGCTCCAAGGTAGTGGCACATGGTGTTGTGCACCGCTGAGACCTGTATTTATGGAGCGAATCTGCATGCACCGCACTGCAGAGAGACTGAAAGATTTCCAAGCCGAAGATATGAGACAACAGGCCGATGTGCTATGCTAAAGAGGCACAAGGTTCAGCTGGAAAGGTAGTGGAAAGGGCCCATTTAGGGATGGGGCCTCAGCAGAGTAGGAACACACTGGATTTCCATAAAGCACAAGGCGACTATGAAAGCAAACTACTTCCTCTGCCACTCAGGGGATGCATCCCCTAAGGAACATGCCCTGCACCCTGCAGGATCACACAGTCTGGACCACTTCATCCCCCTGCCTATGCTGCAAAGTGCATCTGTTACAATAAGCTGCTCATTCTAACTGGCCTTTTCACAGAGTTCAGGCTAGCTGGGAGCCCTCTCATAGCCAGTGGACCTCTTACAGAACACTGGCCAGAGACCCTCACCCGGCCACACCTGCAGCAGAGGGGACTATTCTTCCCTGCTGTGCTAACTTGGGGTTCAACTGCAGCCTACGGCAGGTTTGGACTCTACCTGCTGCTCCAAGAGCGTAACACACCATGGAAGAACTTCCCCAGTGCAGCACTACCGTAAGCTGCTCCCCTTCCTTCCCTAGCCTGTTGGGAACAGGGCTGGGGAGGAGAGGAAGGCAGGTCTCCAACACAACAGGATCTTGGGCTGCCAATGTGAGCTACTGCCGATTGCTGTGACTTATGCAGAGACCATTTTGGCCACTGGAGCAGCCCAGAATGGCAGAGGTGACACCGAGCTATCTCCCTCCCCCCACCCCTCCCCTGGGCTGTGCCTTCAGCCATGTGCCTCCACCGCCCAGAATTGCACCCCAAAACTTTTAGGAAGACATAGGGTATCAGGGCCCCTGGGAAGCTGTTCCGCTGGTTAATTATTATCCATTTAACCACCTCCACTGTTCTTAATCCACTGTTAAGAAATTACATTTTATTTCCAATTGGAACCGCACCTCCCTGACACCAGATCTTGTCATGCCTTTGTCTACGAGCTTAGAGAGACTTCTACTGTCAGAAATCTTCTCCCCACGTAGGTACTTATAGACTGGTGATCACATCAAAACCCTGGACTCCCCTGAAACATTGGACAAGTCTCTGAGGGTCTGATTTTTAAAAGGCGTTCAGGTGCCTAAAGATGAAGATAGGAAGCTAGTGGGATTTTCAAAAGCACCTAGGCACCTAACTCCCCTTGACCTCCGTGCTGATCAGTTGAGATAGTAATTGAAGGGAAACACCAAATAGGACAAGACTCACGATAAAATCACGAGAGTTGGCAACACCAGCGTTTCTGTGGAGCAAGCGTTTTTGGGCGGGGACAAGTGTAAAGCTGAAAAATCTGTTCTCCGTCAATCATTCAAAAATGTCTGAACGGGAATTTCCTGGAACTTTCCAGCAAATATTCGCCTTTGAGCTGAGACCCAGCCAGAGGCCCAAAGAATTTCAGAAATTTCTGAGCCCAAACAATACAGGGAATTCTCTTGTAATCATAACTGTAGTGTTAGGGATCTCCCATGTGTCCCCCCTGGGGCTGCCTATGGGGACTGCTCTCCCTGCCCCAGCTCACCCCCCCACGCTGGCTTGCATGAAGGCCTGAATAGTCCTCAGCTTTCCTATGTAGTGCCTGTGCTGGGGGGGTTCTCTCCCAGGCAGCTAAAAAGCTTTTATGACTCCTGCAGGCCACTACAGCTGAGTACAGAAGAGTTAGGGGACGATATTCCATAAAGTCAAACACTTCACGTGATTCTGCTCCTCCCTGCCTTAGCCTCTCGGGGTTTGTCTACACGGCAAAAAACCACCTGCAGCTGGCCCACATCATCTGGCTCGGGGGACTCAGGCTACGGAGCTATACATTTTCAGTGTAAACGTTCAGGCTTGGGCTGGACCCGAGTGCAAACGTCTACACGGCAATTTTATAAACCTGCAGCCCAAGTCAGCTGATGTGGGCCAGGTGCGGATGTTTTATTGCGGTGTATACCTCAGGCACGCTAAGCCCAAGCTCTGACTCTGGTTTGAGCCCTCTTTCTGTTCACACACAGATCAGTCGGACTCAGATCAGCAGGCACTCGGGCTCCAGGTCCTAGGACCCTACTAAGGGAGGTGGGTCAGAGCCCAATTCTGACTGTGACTCAGATCCAATCCCTGTCATTGTGCAGTGTGGACGCAGGTCAAGCCGCAGATCCAAGTCAGAAGGTCTGTGTTGTGCTGTGTGGACGCATTGGCACAGTTGTGAGACTCAGGTCCAGCAACTGTAAACCCAGGTTTACAATGCAGTGTGGAAGCTCAAGCATGAGCTTAGAAAAACAGAGCCCAAAAGCCTGGCTCCCACAGACGTTCCCTCGTAGGCCAGAGCTCCCACCCGCAGCTATCCAGGTGGATGCCATGTACCTGAATGACCACGTCTCTCCTGAACTTTGCTCTAGAGTCAGGAGCGTCTGAATTGATAGCCCGTGGCACTGCTGGAAGCCAGGGGTCTGTGTCTCACTGCTGTTCCCTCAGGCCCTAACCCAGACAGATCTTGCCCATTCCGAGTTTCAGTAAAGCTCATCATTCTTTACTGAGACTCTGGCTGAAGACTCCTGAGCAGATGCACCGAATGAGAAGCAGGGACGGTAAGAACGGCATTAACCTGGAGTAGGGAAGCCCAAGCCGCAGCGGGCTTGAACTGTTCAGCCACCACATTACACAACGTACTACAAGGGAGAACGTTTCACTGGCACATACAGCGGGACCTTACTGTGCAGTGATTGGGACAATACCCTCGGACTCCAGAGACTGGGTTCCATGCCCTGCTCTGCCACAGACTTGCTGTGTGACACTGGGCATGTCACAAGTCTCTCTGGGCCTCAGGTCCCATCTGTAAGACAGGGACAACAGCATTGCCCAGCCTGACGGGGGACGTGAGCACAAATACATTAAATATCGTGAGGTGCTTGGATGGTACAGCAATGGCAGCACAGAAGTGCCCATGAAAGACAGACGGACCCCAATTCCAGCATGTCTAGTGCTTAACACTGATGATCCCATACAAACTGTGAGCCACATTCTCAGTGGGTGCCCGATGGCTGGAATAAAACAAACACCTCGCCAGCTTTACATCTCCTACCCGCTTGCTAACTCCCCCTGGGAGAATCCTAGCTGAAGGGAATTCAGGCCTGCAGTTTGCTTGGATTGCTCACCTCCCTCAGGGCTCAGCAACAATAGCTTGGGCTTCTTAACACCTCTCACGAACTGAAACCCTTGAGAACTGAAGCAGCTTTTTAGTCTCAGTATGTACAAGGGCCTCCCAGTCAATCCACACTTCAGTGGATACAGGGCAAAAGCCCGCTACGGATGGGGACCGTTTGCTACCACCCATTACAGCATCTACAATGAAGCAGGGTGTCTAGGTCTCCATTGCAAACTCCACCAACTGCCCCCGGCGTGTCCCACTACATCTGGCCTAACGGCTCGGACGCTGCGCTTGCTTTAGAACCATCTCAGACCTCCCACTCCTTCACAAGTGACTGTGAACAGACTGGCAGGGGACTAGCAGCCACTAATGAGCGCTGCCAACGGGAGCATTTGTCAGTGTCTTACAAGAATCTTCCCAGCCGGCGGTGTTGCCTTGGTTTCAGATCAGCCGGGCCTCTCCTTCCATCTCAACCTGAGGGTCGCACACTCCCGTGAAGTTTATCTCTTTGCTGCTGTTGCCGACGGCAGAGTTGAGGTCGGGACTGTGTATGCCGGAGGAGGGAGAAGGGTGTTGAAAACCACCATCTATTACTGACACAGCTCTCCCACTCATGTAGATCTCCAAATATCTCAGAAGCTGCTTCGGTTTCTTTTTGGCAAATGCCTCCAGTTCTGGGAAGAGGGAGGGGGAAAAAAATCTAGTATCAACATGAAAAGACATGACACCGGGATGGAGGAGGGGCAGTCTGAGTCCCACATGTTTTCTGGGGTAACATTATTCTGGTATATTTTTAAGCTTTACCCCTAGAGTTTGGTCCAGTGTCTCCTTAGGAATGTGCTTCACTCTCAGGACAGAGCACGTAACCACAATGGCTACGAAGGGCTGGAACTTGTAGCTACAAAACACCTTTGGAAAAATCATTTCCCCATTGTCCAAGCTTGGGGGTCTCACCCAGAAGCCAAATGTGTTACACCCAGCTGATCATAACCGATGGGAACGCCCCAGGGCTCCAGGGAAGAGCATAGACCACATGGGTGGGGATAGGGGAGAAACCCCAATCTATTTGTGGTGATCCGAGCTTCACTTTTTGAAGATGCTTTTTCAGCCGTAATAAACACATCCATCTCTCTGCTCACTGGGCAGGTTTTACCCTCTTTTTATTTTTTGCGTGCAGAGATAAATAACCCTGCTGTGCCTCTAATTTGGTTTTTACAGAAAGAAAATAGCATTGATTGCTGTAGTTAAGGCCCAATGCTACAAGTAATGCATATATAATTACATTAAAAATACATTAAAAGATTGTTATTAAGGTTGTAAAGTCAAGCACAGAAAAATTAAGAAATGGTTGAATTAAGGTTGCCCACAACACCTTAATTCAGCCCCCTTGTGTTGTACACACATTATGATACAATCTTTAATTACATGATCACATACGATTTCTCCCACAGGACCCTGGCCTCACTCAGTGAATGGGTGGCTATTCAAGATTTCTCTTTATCCCATTCAGTGAATGCCGCAGGCCTAATTTGATGCACACCATTCCAACCCTGCAGGGAGCACACGATCGCTAATTTCCTTCTGGGTTTTCTTGGGTGCTCATCGCTGTAATATCTGAACACCTCACAAATATTCACCTCAGAAATGGTTGAACTATTAAAAAAAAAAAATTAGCCCCAAGGAGAAAACTGGTTTGGAAAATTTCAGCACAAATGGTTCAAGCTTGGCAAAGTCTTAACCAAATGAAAACAGGATCTTAGGATGGAAAGTGTTAAGCAACCTTAATCATAGGCCTCACTGACCACTTGGCTTACAACAAGGGTGAAACATTGAAATTTCACACCCACATGCACACCCACACAAACATACTTGGCAAAAACCACACAAGCAAAGAAATGAGTTAACAACACACCTAAAATATACAACTTCTACTTCTCTCCCCACATACACCTTCCACTACAGCAGCCAGCTTACATCAAGCCCTTAACTCTCCCCCTGCAGCTAGTGGCCAACCTCCGTATCCTGCAATCATGTAACACACAGAGAGCCTTCCCTGTCTGAGCAGAGGTGCAGCGTAAAGCAGGGTGCAGTGAAGTCTTAGCTTCCCTCCAAAAGAAACACTACGTTTTCCAAAACGTATTCTTAAAAAGCCCTATCCCTAAAGAGCAGCCACTGCAATTACAACACACGATCAGAGGTGATTAGGTGGGGCTACAGACAATCCCATGTGGCTATTAAAATCCCAATTACCTTGGGAATAGTATCTTTTAAAGCCCAATGACTGAACCGAGCGTTAATGGAGACTCCCTGGGTTTGAACATCATGTAAGCAATTACAATGTCAGGACACTGGTAGCTTAAGGCCCTCTCTCCTCTACCCCTAGCTTGGGTGCCGGCAGGCCAGTCTTTCACAAGTGGTGTACGGAACAAGCAGCGTTTGTCCTGCATACATTCAAGTTATTGTCCCTTGCTTAGAAAAGATGCAGGGAAACGCACCTTTTAGAACGAAGCCAGAGTCAGAAATTGTTTTCTGTTGTGTTTTCCAGATGACGTAGAGGCGCAGGGAAGTGGCCACATACAAATCATTCAGCACCGCAATGACCTGCTGTCTGCGGTTACACTCTCTGAAAGAGACAAGGATGGGAATGCTTATCTCTACCCTCTGCCTTCCCAGCAAATCCAGAGACCCAAAGAGGCAAGAGCTACAGAATCACCACCTCAGAGATCCACCTGACAGAGAGATTTACACCAGCCGGAGACACGTTCCTGCGTGGCCCTGCAAACATGGGGAGTTAATGAAGGAAACAAATTTCCTCTTGAATGTTATGTGGTACAGTAGTTATGATGGCTATTATTAAAATCAGCCTAACACTTTCTGTTATAACCCCCGTTAGAACTGTTTATACCTTCGACAAAAACGTTAATCTTTCCAGCAGACGTTTCCCATGCTTGGACGCTGACACTGATGGATTTTTTTTTAAAAGCTGAATTTTCAGCATCACATTTTCAGCATCACATTTTCAGCATCACAGGGACCGCCAGACTGGATCAGACCCAAAGGCCATCTAGCCCAGTTTCCTGACACAGACAATGGCAGCACCATGGATGCCTCGGCGAAAGGGGTAAGAACCCTGCTGCAATAGTAGATGGGGGATGACGTGACCCCACATCAGGTCTCGCCCTGATCTCTAACAGAGATTGGCTTAAGCCCTGAAGCATGAGGTTTTTTCTCCCTTCTGATACTCTTTTTTCTGACATTAACTACAATAACTCTGAGCACTACAGCTGTACGTGGCCACAGCTCTCTGTTGGCCTGTCCGCAATTATGCCCAGGTTCCTTTCCTTTGCAGTGAATTTAGAACTCTGCAAGGTGTCTGAATCATACCAATGTAGAGCTGGAAGGGACCTCGAGAGGTCACCCAGCCCATCCCCCAACACTAAGGCAAGAGGGAATACAGGTAGACCAGGGGTCGGCAACCTTTCAGAAGTGGGGTGCCGAGTCTTCATTTATTCACTGTAATTTAAGGTTTCGCGTGCCGGTAATACATTTTAACGTTTTTAGAGGGTCTCTTTCTATAAGTCTATAATATATAACTAAGCTATTGTTGTATGCAAAGTAAATAAGGTTTATAAAATGTTTAAGAAGCTTCATTTAAAATTAAATTAAAATGCAGAGCCGCCCGGACCGGTGGCCAGGACCTGGGCAGTGTGAGTGCCACTGAAAATCAGCTCGCATGCCACCTTTGGCACACGTGCCATAGGTTGCCTACCCCTGATCTAGACCATCCCTGACAGGTGTTTGTCTAACCTGTTCTTAAAAATCTCCAATGACAGGGATTCTACAGCATCCCTTGATAACCTATTCCAACATTAACTACCCTCATAGTTAGAAAGTTTTTCCTAACATCTAACCTAACTCTCCCTTGTTGCAGATTAAGCCCATTACTTTTTGTCTCACCTTCAGTGGACATGGAGAACAATTCATCACAGAGCTCTTTATAACAGCCCTTCATATATTTGAAGTCTGTTCTCATGTCCCCATGCAGTTGTAGCTGGCATCATTTCACCTTGAATGGTCCCTTGAAATCCGTGTTAACTACTACGCTAAACCATCTGTTCTACCTTGTATTTAGCTGTGACACTCTGAGTATATTTCCCAGACCTGAAGAAGAGCTCAAGAATGTCTCTCTCACCAACAGAAGTTGGTCCGATAAAAGACATTACCTCACCTACCTTGTCTTTCTCATGTCCCCACTCAGTCTTCTTTTCTCAAGACTAAACAGGCAGTTTTTTAAACCTTTCCTCACAAGTCAGGATTTCTAAACCTTTTACCATTTCTGTTGCCCTCTTCTGGACTCTCTCCAATTTGTCCACATCTTTCTTAAAGTGTGGCACCCAGAACTGGACCTAATACTCCAGCTGAGGTTTCACCAGAGCCGAGGAGACAATTACAGTTGATACACTCCAGAAGGATATTAGCCTTTTTCACAACTTGATCACACTGTTGGCTCATACTCAATTTGTGATCCATTATAATCCCCAGATCCTTTTCTGCAGTACTCACCACCTAGCCAATTAGCCCCCGTTTTATAGCTGTACATTTGATTTTTTTCCTTCGTAAGTGCAGTACTTTCCACTTGTCTTTATTGAATTTCATCTTGTTGCTTTCAGACCAATTCCCCAATTTATTAAGGTCATTCTGTACTCTACTCCTGTCCTCCAAAGTACATGTAACCCCTCCCAGCTTGATGGCATCTGCAAATTTTAAAAGAATTTCTCTACTCTATTATCTAAGTCATTAATGAAAATGTTGAATAATATCAGACCCAGGACTGAACTATGCAGGACTCCAGTACACGCATCCTCCCAGTTTGATTGTGAACCCTTGATAACTACTCGGAGTACAGTTTTTCAACCAGTTTTGCCCCCACCGTATAGTAATTTCATTTAGATCACATTTCCCTAGTTTGTTTATGAGAGTGTCATGTAGGACTGTGTCAAAAGCCTTACTAAAATCAAGATACATCACACATCTATTGCTGCCTCCCTATCCACTAGGCCTGTAACTCTGTCAAAGAAGGAAATAAGGTTGGTTTGGCATTATTTGTTCTGGACAACTCCACGCTGGCTATCCCTTAGAACCCTATAATCCTCGAGGGGCATAACTGATTGTTTCATTATTTGTTCCAGAGAAGTTAGGCTGACTGGTCTGTAATTTCTCTTTGTTCCCCTTTTTAAAGATAGGTGCTGTTTGCTCTTCTCCAGTCCTCTGGGACCTCACCCATTCTCCAGATGTTCTCCAAGATCATTGCTAATGGTTCTGAGATTGCTCCAGCTAGTTCCTTATATACCTCAGGGTGAATTTCAATGGGCCCAGCTGACTAGAACACATCTAATTTATCTAAATATTCTCTAATCCATTCTTTCCCTATTGTGGCTTCTGTTCCTTCCCCCATGTGGTTAATATTAATTGTGTTAAGTATCTGGTCAACAATTAACCTTTTCAGTGAAAACTGAAGCAAAATAGGCATTGAACAGCTCAGCCTTCCTGGTGGTGTCCATTATTAGCTCTCCTTCCTTGCTAAGTAGAGGACCTACACTTTCCTTCATCTTTCTCTTGCTCCTAAAGTATTTATAAAACCTCTTCTTATCGACTCCTATGTCCCTTGCTAGGTGTAACTCATTCTGTGGCTTAGCCTTTCTGATTTTATCCCTACCTCCAGGGTCAAATATTTCTTTGCATTTGTTAACATTGCAAATCATCTGCCCTCATGCTGCCCACACACCCAACTCGGTTAAGTCCCACTGAAGTTCCCTGCAGTCCGCTCTGGACTTGACTAACCTAGATAACTAACTATCCAGAGCCTGGATATAACCCCTGTCCTGCAGTGCCCCAATTCTCTTCAGTATCAAGCCACATCAGATACCAGAACACACACTCATTTACGTATTAGAGTGCTAAATACATATACAGCCCTACGCTAGCAACCTGTCTGAGACAGAGACATAGCCAATCCTTCAGCACATACCCTTAGACATACAATCCCTTTACTAGATGCACAGCTAAGTAGAAAGTCCCTGCCTGCTTTACTGGGGTACAACTCCTTCCTCTCTACCTGTGCTCACATTTCAGGCCCACCTGCACTACAAAGCAGCACATCAAAACCAAGTGGTAATTGGGTCTCCTGGCATGGTGGTACATGAAGTGTAGATGAGCCTTTAGTAATGCAGCCTGGGGTCTACACACAGGGCTCTAGGGCCACACTGGGCTGTGAACTCACCGAGAAAGATGTTCTTCCCTCAGGGCCTGGATCACGATGCGAGTGATATTTATAGACATGACACAGAAAGGGAAATTCTGGAAAAGAAACAGAATGAAATCAGCGATTCCACCCGTTCTCCCGGATAAGGCCCCTCTTCCCTCCAGCACTTGGACAATGCCCATCCTTAGGTCTCTGTTCTAGTTAGAGATGGGTCCAGATCTAAACCCTGGATATTGTAAATTCTTTGGGGCAGGGGCAATCTTTTTGTTCGGTTTGTACGGCATCTACTACAGTGGGACCCTGATCCATGACTGGGGCTCCTTCACACTCTGGTGATATCAATAAATATGAATACAGACTCGGGTCAGAGTTTGCAGCTCAAACCTCTCTTTCCATTGGGCCAAACCCAATCAGCCCTGACCCTCAGTTTGGCTCCAGTTATTGAACCCACATTTTAATCTGAGGGTTTGGTTCCACCCATTCCCGTTATGAAGATATAAAGTCTGGATCTGGATTAATAGATTCCTAGGCCAGAAGGGACCATTGTGGTCTTCTAGTCCAACCTCCTGTATAACGTAGGCCATTGAATTCCCCCCAAATAATTCCTAGAGCAGATCTTTTAGGAAAATATTCAATCCTGATTTAAAATTGCACTGATGGAGAATCCACCATGGCCCTTGGTAAATTGCTCCAATGGTTAATTATCCTCCCTGTTAAAAATTAGCGCCTTATTTCCAGTCTGAATTTGTCTAGCTTCAACTTCCAGCCATTGGATCAGGTTATAGCTTTGTCTGCTTGATTGAAGAGCCTATGATCAACCATAGCTGGGGTTTGGTTCTGGCATATGATTTGGGCCTGTCTTTGATTTAAACATCTTCTCCCTCACCAAAACAGAATAAGCAATGATGGGTGTAAAACAAGTGAATAAAATTAACACGCACCATGGGGAACATTTTATAAGTGAGAATTGTTTGACTAATGAGACTAAAGTTTGGCTAAAGGGAGGCTGTGGAATTGGCAACGTCAGATTTATTCAAGGTGCAAAGTAGCCAATGTCTATCAGGGCTGTGGAAAGACAGCACCATAGATCAGACACTGAATGAAGCAGAGAATCTGGGACGTGAAAGAGTTTTCCTAACAGCCAATCAAAAAGCAGGATTCCATGCTTACCTTTCCCTGAAGTTTAATAATAATAAATAAATACCAATCCAGAGTCAGAGTTAAAGAGGGAAGGACATGCCTGTGATTCATGCTGGGACAGCTTGAAAACGTCTCGAGCGAGGGGTAATGTCCGAGAGTCCATTACAAAATACAGAATTTGCATTAACCCGAGCAATCCAGTCCCACGCAGGTCTGTCCCAGGATCCAGACCTTTAATATAAAAACATACAGCCAGGTAAGCCGTGCATGTTCCTGTCCTGAAACACTCAGTATATGCTCTCCCTGTCTTATTACGTGCCTGCTTTGGAGCACGATATACATTCTTACAAACCCTTTCCATTGCCAGTCCTTATGGTTGCTGAGAAAACCTCAAAAATATCAACCAGGTATTAAATGATGCAGTGATACCTGCCTGAATTTGCAGTCAGCCTGCGACAATGGCTCTAAGTGGTGTGAACTGCCCCATTCATCTCGTGGAATTGGCATTTTCCCCCAATCAGCCACTGAATTCTGCATTTCCACCATGGAATTCACCATTTTGCTGCAACTGGGCATCCAATATATTATCTCCCTTGTCTGCCAGGACCTGCCTGCAGCTGCTCTTGCTCTCTAGTTTTCACATCCAGGAGAAGTTAACTGGATGCCAGGGCAGGCTCCCCACACTGCTCCATGGAGCCAGGCAGTAGAGGGGTCTTTCTTACCTTTTCCTCTCTCCTCTGTGGATCCACCATTTGCAGACCAACTTTCCCCTCCGGTGGGCTCAGGCCCAAGCACGCACCAGAATGCTTTTTAGCCACTTGATGCTTCAGAAGAGTTGCCACACCAGCTAGCAAAGGATTCTGGGACGTGCCTATGACCATTAATTGGAGGGAGTAGCGAGCCATTTGGAGACCAAATGGGGAAAAAAAGGGGTTGGTGCTTTATTTGATTTGTGTTTTTATGATGACTAATGAGGTGATTGCATTTTGTTGTTTGGTAGGCAGGTTGCTACGGGTTTGTTTGTTTGTTTTTTAATGCTTATTTTTTAGATTATAGAATTCAGCTCTTCTCCATCCTATCGAGCCTGGAAGACTCTGGATAACTGGAGATCATTTTTACAAAAGAACCCACTGAATTCTTCAAGCAAAAGCTCATGAGTTTACAAATTCAGAGGACTGTTTTAGTAAACTGCAGAACGTTTGCATGCCTGAATAAAACGTTTGGCACCTTAACTCAGCATCCACGACAGCTAAAGTCAGATTAATGTGGGTACAATGAGAGTTGCATGTTACTTTATGGTGGTGAAATGTAGGTATCGACAAAGTGTCTGGAGCAAAAGCTGCAAACATTGGAGATGACGTGCTTGGGCCATAACCTAGGCATGGCAAGGATGGGTAGACTACGATATAATTACATCTGTAGAAGCCTGAAAAAGTGACTACAATCATCAAAAGGTCCCAACTCCAACGATTGGGTCATCGTGCTAGAATGACCCTGTCCCAGCTGCCTAAAATTGTTCTCTATGGAAGACTGCATGGAGAGAGAGTCGTGGACATCCAAGAAGATAGTCATGCCCCAAAAGGCTCAAAACAGACACGGGGGAAGGCAGCTCATAACATCGGCCTACCTAACCCAGGCGCTGGAAAAAAGGAGACGATGATGGTCACGTAGCACTCCAAACATTACACAGAAGGGACTGGTGCTGGAGGTGAATTTCTAGCTTGGGTAGACATGTACACGCTAGTGCTGATTGAGCTCGCACACTAAAAATAGCAGCATAACCACAACGGCGCAGGCAACGAGACAGGCTAGCCACCCTGAGTACAATCCTGTCTGAGATCCTAGGTATGTACGTGAGCAGCTAGCCCGTCTCTCTGCCCGCACTGCCACTAAACTGTCATTTGTAGCATGTTAGCACGATCAACGCTCGCATGCACACGTCTACCCCCACAGGAAATTCCACCTCGAGCTGCCGTGCCAATGACCCCGGTGTGTCACTGTGACTAGTGAAAGCTGCCAAGCCTTACAGACGGGGGGGAAAACACTGACTGTACTGTCTCTCAGATGTCGTCGACATTAAGGTAGGATCTGCTGCTGACAGTCAAGTCGAAGTAACTCCATCAACCAGGGCCGGCTCTGGCTTTTTGGCCGCCCTAAGCAAAATAAATAAATAAATAAATAAAACGGGGCGGCCAGAACGGCAAAGCAAAAAAAAAAAAAACCCTGCGGCGCGGCCGGAGCGCGGGTGCAGGGGGACCAGCTAGCAGGGGGAGGGGGAGGGAGCGGGCGGGAGAGAGAGAGAAGGGGGCGGCCAGGGCTACGGTGGGGCACGGCCCCTCCCGCCACGCCGCGCTGCCCCGCCTGCCGGGAGGGCTCCGCTCCGGTCGGCGGGGAGGGAAGGACAAGGACTGCCCTGCCGGGCTTGCTGCAGGGCGCTCCCGTCCTCTGCGCCGCCGCCCCCTACAGGGCGGCCGGAGCGGAACAAATAAAAAGCGACTGTGCCGCCCTAGGATTGGGCGGAATGCCGCCTCGTTCAATCTGCCACCAGCTTGCTCGGCTGGTGCCTGGAGCCGGCCCTGCCATCAACCAACAAACATGCGACATGGGAGGACAAGGTTTCAAGAAGTTTGAGGAAAACTTTCTCCTGGGAACTATGATTAGCATATGCAAATGAGTAGATATAACTATAGAAGAAGCAGAAGCATCGATCCCTGTTTCTCGTCATCTATGCTCTACCTGTCTCCTATCCACCGCTTTCCATCCTCCTTCCCAGCCACAGAAAAGGACCATCTGTCATGGTCTTCCCTGCCTGTCACCCACTACCTATTTTGGTTCAGCCAACCCTCCTTACGCTACCACCATGCTAGAGATGCAATGTTGCTTAGTCCCATCCTGTCCCATTCTCCCCCCATTCGTTCACCCACTTTCAGGTAATGGAAAATAGAGAACAGAAGCAGTACTGCCTAGTGGATAGAGTCCTGGACAAACTCAGGCGACGTGGGTTCTAGTCTCAATTGTGCAAGTGGCCTGCAAGGTGACCATGGGCAAGTCACTGCACTGCTCTCTGCCTCAGTTTCCCCATCTGTAAAATGAGGCTAAAGATGACCTTCTTTGTAAAGCGCCTGGAGATCTCTAGAGGAAAAACGCTATACGAGAGCATGCTATTATTATTGTTATGTAACCGAGGACACACAGCCTGCAAGGAGTTTAAGTATAAAAACAAAAGCATTTTTTATTGCAGAAGCACAAAACACAAGCTCATTTAGGGCACGCTGTATCTGCTACAACCTGTGCCAAACAGCAGCACCTACACAGTACAAGGCAGCAAAGGAATTCGTGGTATCTTCTCCTTAAAACGAAAACCCCATGGCAGTTTCCCTGGTGTCACTTTATAGCACAAACTAGCAGGCAAATGTGTTTACAGTATTGAATAGGCATCTATGGCTCTGAAGGAACAACAGAATAAGCTGTCTCCATTCTCTCCTTAAACACACTTCAACCCCCATCCCCAAAAGCAGAGCACAGGGACCAGAGGATGGATACCTCCCAAAGAATCTGAAAATTAAAAAAAAAAAAAAAAACCACAACAAGGAACATCCAAGAGCGTTTTAGGCTCGTAGCATGAAAAGGACTCCATGTGTGCCAGTAAAGCAGACAAGACTAAAGAAAATTAACTGGCCACTCAAACCAATATCAGGGAGTTAATCTCTGAATACAAGACAGTCAGAATTAATTTGCTCTCAGCAAGTACAACCAATGGAATTGCTACACGCAAATTAGCTATAGAGGAAATGTGAGGATTGGTGGGTTAGTTCTGATGTCACTTAACAGTTGCCCAAGTCGTTTCCCTTAGGACACATCTACATCACAAACTTTGGCCAAAGCAAATTATGCTGGCATAAAGCTGCCGCAGTTAGTATACTGCTTGTGTCAGCGATGTGCGCACTCACCAGGAGTGTTTGTGTCGATGCACCATGGGTAGATATCTCAGTTTGCAAATCACCACCTTCCAGTGCACTGTCTTTTGGAAAATTTTGGTAATTTATGGTGGGGCGGAAACAAGTCACACAGGGGTGGCCAGGAGCAAAGGGTCAGCTTCCCAGCATGCAACATTCTTCATCCCAGAATGTCATCCATATCCCATCATTTTCATGCCTTTTTTAAAAATCCCATGAACCCACGTGGCTCTCCTCACTGTCTGCCATCTCTGACAGAAGCATGGAGCCTGCACAGCTCTGCATTATTGTCGTGAGAGTTGCATGCATAGGGTACACGATCCTCTGGTATTTGCAGAGACGCAAGAACTGAATCAGCAGGGAACATGATGCTTTCATGGACGACAGATAGCTGTGGGACATAACGAAAGCCAGTTCAAGGTGGTTACTTTCGTTCACAGAGAGGCTGTAGATGGTGGAGTGCCGTTTCTGGGCTCAAAAAACGGGCACGGATTGGTGGGATCGCATCATAATGCAGGTTTTTTGATAGAATGAGTAAAGACTGCAGAACTTTTGGCTGCGATCTGTGTGCCACGCTCACCCCAGCCCTCCAGCACAGCGACACCAGACTGAGAGCTGCACTGACAGCGGAGAAGCAAGTGGCAATAACACTGTGGAAACTTGCAATGCCGGATTTCCACAGGTCAGCGGGAAAATCATTCTGCAGTTGGAAAATCCACAGAGGGGCTGTTGTCATGCAACCGTGCAGGGCCATTAACTGTCTCCTGCTACGCAGGACTGTGACTCTCAGCAACGTGCAGGACGTAGTGGATGGATTTGTGGCAACTGAGTTCCTGAACTGCCGTGCAGCAAAAGCTGGCAGCACATCCCTATTTTGGCACCAGCCCACCCTGCCACAGGGTATATGAACAGAAACGGCTATTTTTCTATGGTTATGCAAGCGCTGGTTGATCACTGGAAACACTTCACTGACATCCATGTTGGCTGGTCAGGGAAGGTGCATGACGCTTGCATCTTTAAGAACATAGAACTATTCAGAAAGCTGGAAGCAGGGACTTTCTTTCATGACCAGCAGATTACCATGGGCGATGTTGAAATGCCCATAGTGATCCTGGAGGACGCAGCCTACCCCTTGCTCGTGAAGCCATACACTGGCCACCTTGGCAGCACCAAGGATAAGATTCAACTGCCAGCTCAGCTGGTGCAGAATGACAGCTGAATGTAAGTTGAAAGGACACTGGCATTGTTTACACACCTGACTGGATCTCTGTGAGAAAAATATCCCAGTGATGATAGGTGCCTGCTGTGTCCTGCATACTATCTGTGAGGCAAAGGAAGAAAAGATGCTGCCAGGGTGGAAGGTGGATGTGGAGCAGCTGTCTGTTGAATTTGAACAGCCAGACACAAGGGCTATTAGAAGTGCTCAATGTGGAGCTATACAGCTGAAGAAGGCCTTGAAAAAACCCTTTGCCAGTAAGCCACAATAATGCATTGTGATGGACTGTGCTCTACCTGGCCCTGCAGTTTTGGGGCCTGTTAGGTGTACATCCATGACTAGAACACTGTTGAGGCACCTATTAATTTTGCGGTGCTTGCTGTACATTTACAATTATTACACTGTGTTTGTCACTGATCCTATGAGTTGTGTCACACCGTACAAAGTAAATGGGTGCTTTCAGTACTGCTAGGCGTTCTGCAGCGCATGTTGGGAATTAATAAAGATGAATTATTATCCCAAAATATAATTTTATTGAGTAACAAAACCAGTGCAAAAAAAATCTGTGCAATTTAAAAGCACGTACATTAAAACCCTAATAAATTAACAGAACAGAGCTTAACAAGGAGAAAGAACATTCCTGTCCATTTGGGCTACACATACAGCAACTGTGGCTCTCACAGGCCAGTGTATGTGAAGCTGTGGTTGTCCTTACTGTCCGTTGGTGTAAAGTGGTAAGGGTAGGGATGGGACCCCTGAGGCCCAGTGGAATGTTTGGGGACGGGGGAGGGGATGTAGGGACATGCTAAAATGGAATTCTCCAAGGGCTGCATAGGGAGGTGAGCCCATTATTGTTGAACCTGTAGGTCCTCAAGAGTCTGCAACATTATATCCTGGTGCATCTCCCTCTCCTTTGCCTGCTGGGACTCCTGGACCTCTCTCCTGTCTGTTCTTTCCCTCTCCTTACAGTCTGCAATATTCACCCTCCAGGCCCTCTGCTCACAGTCTGATGCAGCACTGGCTTGCAAGATCTCGCTGAACATATCATCCCGAGTCCTCTTCTTTCTTCTCATCTGCTTCAGGTGTCCTGCAGGTGTGGAGGGGGAACCCCTCAAGGCCACGGCAGCAGCTATAGATAAAGCACACAGAGGTACTGTTGTTAGCATAGTCACAACGGAAAGCAAAAGTTCAGATTCAGAACTCCTTTCCCTGGCTCCCCTAAAGTTTTAAACCCGACCTGCTTATTGACACTTCTGCTTCGGAGTGCTTGTGCTCAGCACCATTCACAGCACCAGCTGTGGTTACTATGGCCAGCAAGGGGCGAGGGAATTGCTCAGTGGCATGAAACTAGGACTACAGGGCACTGGTGCTGAATACTGGCAGCACTTTCCACAGGTGGTGGTGATTGTAGCTGACGTCTCACTCCTGAGGATAACAAAGGCACAGAAAACACAGCTGCTGCTGGTGTCCCAGAGGCGCCTGAGCCCATACGCCACTAGCTTGTTTACTGCCATGGTGCCTGCTGAAGTTATCACCGATCGGCATGGGAAAGCGTCCAATGGCAGAGGAAAAAAGGCTGTCGTCCTAGAAAACTTTGGGAGAGGATTGCAGATACCTCCATGGAAATTTCATCAAGATCTCTCAGGAAGATTCAACAGCCATCCCTGTATACATGAAACAAACTGCTATGCATGGCACCCACTGCCTTACTCCACAGGGGACTGAAGAGCCAATAACGACCTCTCTTGGTTGTTCTGCTACCTCTTCTGGTATGAATAAATGAACAAAAAGTTGATAGCGATGTCCTGCTAAGTTGGGAGCACTATCGGTACATCATTGTAACGTGAAATACATTTACACACTTACCCGAGGTTCCTTCCCCGGCATTGGGTCGCCCGTGCTCAAGTGCCAGGACTGACTGGACTCTGGGGGCGTCTCAGACAGGTCCTGGATTGTGGCATAGCTGGACCCTGCTGGTTGCATGTCTCCCATTCGCCTCCTCTTCTGTGCTGTTCATGGCAGGGGTCTGTGTCTCGGGCTCCTCAGCGGTACCTAGAGTGGTCTGTGAGGTGGTGGTGGGGTCTCCACCAAGTATGGCATGCAGCTCTTTGTAAAAGCAGCAGGTCTGTGGCTCAGCACTAGATTGACTGTTGGCCTCTCCGCCCTTCTGGTATGCCTGCCGCAGTTCCTTCACTTTCATACGCCACTACTGCTGATCCCTGTCGTACCCCTTCTCCTGCATCCCCCATGCAATCTGCTCGTAGATCTCCCCATTTCTACGGCTGGTCTGTAGCCGGGCCCACACAGCCTCTACTCTCCACAGTCCCAGGAGATCCAGTATCTCCTGTCTGCTCCACGCCAATGTGTGTCTGGAGCGCGTAGCCAGCATGGGTGGCTGGGCAGTTGCACACAACAATGGAGAGCTGCTAGGTGTGGTCGTCACAATGGACATTCATAGAATCACAGAATAGAATCATAGAATATCAGGGTTGGAAGGAACCTCAGGCGGTCATCTAGTCCAACCCCCTGCTCAAAGCAGGGCCAATCCCCAGACAGATTTTTACCCCAGTTCCTTAAATGGCCCCCTCAAGGATTGAACTCACAACCCTGGGTTTAGCAGGCCAATGCTCAAACCCCTGAGCTATCCCTCCCCCCAGGAAAAGGCATTTCAATTAAGGTGCTGGGGAAGCCAGCCCTCTGGTCTCTATGACCCCTGGCAGTTGAGTTCACAATTGTGACCAGAGCAGTGAGGGTCAAGAATTGTTGGACAGCTGCTAGAGGGCTGTTACGTTTGACATAGGTAATGCCGTGTCTACACTCGCACTACATCGACCTCAGTTAATTGACCAGGGCTCAACACAGCTCAGGGAGATGGTGTTACAATGGGGCGCTCGCCTCGATGGGAACCAAATTTAAGTGTAGACACATGCACAACTAGGTCAGTGCAAGGTGGCTTACATCACCCTAACTTTGTAGCATAGACCAGCCCTTTGTCTGTCCATATTCCATATAATCATAGCAATTAGATACAACAATCATTAACAATTTTCCTTAATTACAACTTAATTTCTTCAAATGCAGGCTAGGCACAAGAGTTCGATTAACTTTAACTACGTGGAGAGCTTGAAGAGTCAGTGTTATTCTGTTGTTAAACCCATTCCAGACAAAGAAAAGACTGAAACATGCTAAATTTCTTAAAGAATCCAGTTTTTAATAAAAGTGCAACTCTCATTAATGGATTTATTTGTAACATCTCAGAAAATCGTTCTGTAGCTGAAGAGAAGTGCTGTGTTTTTTTAATACACAAAACAGAGGTAGAATCCTTGCTTTATATGCAAACTGAAATGCAGCCTTAGCTATGGAGTTGCAACCAGTGCCTCCTGTCTAAATCAAACCCTCGGAAAGGGTTATTATTCAGAGATCACCAACAAACAAGCAGCAGTGGCCAACCAGGAACATGTGGTGAACCAGCGATGCCAGTGGCATCTCACTGGGCCAGCAGTCACTGGGAAATTACTAGCTATGCCAGTGGTGGCAACAGAAACTGGTATATCAGCATCTGCCTGTCCAGCTGGCTGAGACAGTGACAGATGCCAGATCAGCAGCTGCAATGAAAAGCACACAGTGTAGAGCAGCTGCAGGGGGATGGAGGTAACAAACCCAGAATCCTTTAAGTCAGTGTTGGGTCACTTCAGCCACAGGGCCGGAGTGATAGCTGGGGACCCCACCCTCAAAGTTCTGTACTGCAGAGCCCACCCTCTCCTCACTGCCTCACCATACCTTGAAAGCCCAGCTCTTCCCAGTGGGCTCCGTAGCGGGGACAATCAAATCTGGAGCCTGTTAGTTTCTTGTAGATGGTCTGCAGGATCCTCATGTGCACTTTCTCATTATTATCCAAGCCACCTGTACGGAAAACACTGATCATCTCTCTGGGACACTGAACATCCCTCTTCTCTAACGCACCAACGTGGAGACATGGCAAAAAAAAAAAAAAAAAAAAAAAAACCCTGCAGGTTAAATGGATTCACAGAAGAACTAGACATTTAAGTGGATAGCAGGAACATCCAGTTAGGAAAAAAACAAGGAGTTCTGAAAGGGATGGAAACCTCCAAGTTTTAGAGCACAAGCCAATCCTCATACTGCACAGCGTTAGAAAGAGTCTTTCCCTGTAGGTAGGTTAACAGCCTGGTGCAGGGGTTCTTTGCACCTTCCTATGACACAGCTGGTGCTGGACACTGAAAAAGAGAGACTGCACAATGGAGCTCCCCAGTAAGGGTAAAGAGCCTCTGTGCAGGAAACAGAACTCGGGGGCCAGCCCCAGAACTCTGCAAGAAACTAGGAACCACCCCAATCCTCCCTACCGTCCGCTCCAAGGACGAGGTGCTTTTCTTTGGCTTTGCCCTCTCTAACATGAATGCAGAGCAACGTGTGTATTTAAACAAAACAAAAAACCCAACCAAAACAAGCCACTTCACTATGAACAATTCTTCCCCCCGGGAGAGGATGAGAGAACAAATACCATGGGACAGATCAGTCAAGTTGCTTAATGCACTGCTGGAAGGTGCGCAGATACTACGGTGAGGAGCACAGTACAAGAACCTGAATAGAATAGAATAGAATACTGGTTTGACCCAGTGAGACAATGCTTATGTTTCTGTGACAACAGTTCATTTAACTTGGTCAAAGTTTGGATCATTTATTTCCCTCTATCTATGGTACTTATCTGGCCCTTATAGACGTAGTATCTGAAATTGTTATGATCTTTAATAGATCCATCCTCACAACAGCCCTGTGAGGTAGGACAGTGCTATTATCCCTATTGTACAATGGGGAACTGAGCACAGAGAGATGAAGTGACTCGCCTGAGGCCAAATAGGAAGTCTGTGGCAGAGCAGGGAAGTCCCAGGATAGCACTCTAACCACTGGACCATCCTTCCTCTTAGCACACACTAGCTAGACATATAAAGATCACAACATCTGACTTCCCTGATTCTTTTATGAAGAGAAGAGATCTCTAAACCTGCCAAGCCCCTTCAGAGACCACCCCAAATTTTCATGCAAACAGTGATCTTGGGGACCCTAGTGGGGATTTGGTACCTGATAAGCCTGACATCTCCCAGCAGGAAGCAGGTGTTTCCAGGGGTCATATTCAAACCCTATTCAATAAAGAGACCCCAATACAAACGCTGCCTCTTTTTGCAGAAAGAATTTGTGACCCAGTGACTCTGGATGTCTGGTTTGATGGAGAGGGAGGATGCTAGTGAGGTGTGTAGGGAACAGGGAGAGAGGGCACAAGATGGCTCCTGAAAGTCCTCAGTCCAAGGTATGCAGGCAGGAGTGCGGGGGAAGGCACTGCGCTCCAGGACACCAGCTGAGGGGAGGGGTGGATCACACTTCAATCATTGAATATATAATCAAAAACAATCACCCGAGGGAGGCTGATTAAACTGGCTGGGCAGAGCTCATTCTCCTCGTTAGACGGGAATACTCACACTGGGCTATCGCCAGGGCCAGATCCCGCTCGCCTTGCAGCTGCTGATGGAGCCGCGGGGGGCCGAAGAAGAAGTGAGCCACAGCAGACAGCCCTCGCCTTTGCACTGTCGGCTGGATCTTTTTCTAAGAAAAGGATGATACATAAAGAGAGGTGTCGGGGTATGTGGTGCAGTCTCCCTTGGAATCATCTGGGAGAAAACATGGCAGCAAATCTTGTTTTGCAAGGGAATTGGTTAATTAATTGGGTAGTGACACCAAGAGTTGAGGTTGCCTAACACTTTCCATTACAAGACCCTGTTTTCAGTTGCCTATGATTTTGCCAAACTTTAACCTCTCGAGATTAAATTTCCCATGCCTGGTCTTGACTTCAGACCGAAAATTTTTGGAAAGTTACAGCAAAAACATTTCAGCTGCTTCTGAAAACGAAGTTAGAAGAAAAATAGGTTGGTCAGTCAACATTCAAAAAATTCGTACAACTGTTTCTTTAAGAAGCTCTAGCATCTCTATGCTTCACGGGAAGGACTTGAAATTTGGCAGCATGGAAGACGTGGGGTCAGAGAGGTGCCTTTTGTCATCTCTATGAAAATTCACCAAGATTTAGGTGCATTACACACCTTTGTAAATCCCCATTTGCACGTGCTCAGAAGAGGTTTGTAAGACTGTCGCCGCTACACTCTGTTGCACTGAGCATGCTCTAGCCCAGAAGTGAAGGGGCTGGACACCAATCTTCCTGGAATTGCTCCTCCCAGCTTACAGGCACTGGGGCACCAACCACCAGAAGTGAGTGAAAGACGACTCCCTCCTGTGCTACCAGTGCTCTCCCTCTTAGTGCCCAAGCTACACAGAGGAGGAAGCAATCTGACTCGAATGCAGGCTGGTAAGGAGCAGAAATAGTAGCGGGCATAAGCTGGGAAGGATAGGACCAGAGAGGGACAGACTGGAAGCGGATAGGGGGGTGACTGGGATTGGGCAGAAGACAGCATAATAGGAAACAGGGGCAAAATGGGGGAGGCTGCCTCTGGCCAGGAAACCCTGAGTTCTAATCTCAGCCCAGCCCACCCTCACTGTGTGGCATTGCACAAGCCACTTCACCTCCCTGAGCCTCAGTAAAATACTCACCGCAGGGACTAATGAGTTCCTGTCTGCACAGTGCTACGAACACGCATAATGCTACATCGTTTAATCCCAGTGGTTCGTACATACCCTGCACTCTGACAGGTCAGCTGTCTGGAAATACTGCAGTGCTTCATTGAAGGCAATCAGGGGCACGTGACCTGCACACGTCCCCACGATCCCTGCAAATATGAAAGAAAACAGCCCTGCCTGGGATTCACGACAAGTCTCGTTACACTGAAAGAGTCACAGCCTGCTCCACAAAAAGCCCTGCACTCCGACCAGCTTCCCTCCCCCATCAGTGATGCTAAACTTTGCCTATTGGCCTTACAGAGATGCTGTGCTCGTGGCAGGCCAGGCCCCTCACTTTCCCACAAAATCTCTCTTTTGTGTTAAGATCTTCTCCAGTCAATATTTTTTTCCACCTGTGTCCAAACTTAGACCTGCATGCATAACATTAGACACACAGCTTGCAGGATGCGCTGGTCACCCCACTCAACTTGCCCACACCACTTTGGACAAGAGATGGACACGGTCACAATTTCAGATTCTCTTTGCCAGGGCCCCTCCCCTGTTGGTTCATAAGAAGAATGAGTGGGGAGAGTGGGAGCATGCTCAGAGCATCTGTGATATCCGTAGGACTTCGGTCCGTGGTCACAGCCCGGAGTTTGGAAGATCATCGAGACAATGCTATTGGGAAACATTACACAGAAGGTGATCACATTTCGGAGGGGTGTGTTTCAGATGTTGGGCATGTCACCAAAACAGCCCCTCTCTCCTTGAGGAAAGTTTCGGCTACATGGAGGCACCTGTGCAGAGTCTGCATCAGCCACACCGATTGGTTCAAGGTCTACAGGCCCAATTCTCTGCTATGCCCAGCCAGTTATAAAATTATGTACCCCTGGATCTTTGCCCAGCCCTGGCAATGGCCCCTAAGAGACCGTCTACCAGCTGAGCATAGGCAGAACACAGCACACTCTGGCCATGCCTTCTGTCCACCTCTGTGCCAGGACTGCAAGGAGAGCGGCATAGATCTCATGGCAAAAATAGTATGTGATCGGGTAATTGAAGTCTATGTCATCAGGCACACGCACAAGGTGGCAGAGGTAAAGTTGCATGGGCAATCTCAATTCTAGCATTTCCTAACTTTTGAGGCCTTTACTTTGCAACCTTAACATCCTTTGAATGTAGATGGTTATATGCAGTACACCTCTACCTCGATATAACGCTGTCCTCGGGAGCCAAAAAATCTTACCGCGTTATAGGTGAAACGGCGTTATATCGAACTTGCTTTGATCCACCGGAGTGCGCAGCTCCGCCACCCCGGAGCGCTACTTTACCGCGTTATATCCGAATTTGTGTTATATTGGGTCGTGTTATATCGGGGTAGAGGTGTATTTATAGTGAGAAACAAAATCCTTTAGATGACTCTGAAGTCTGAACCATCAAGTTTTGCACACTCCACGCCTATGTAACAACACAATGTGACTACTGTGACCCCTGCCCTGCCGGGAGTGGGTTGCATCCCTTGTTCTGTCTGGTCTTAAATTAGACACAAAGCTCTTCAAGGCAGAGATTCTCTCTCCTACTGTGTGTGTTAGTACAGCACCTAGCACAATGCAGGGCCAAGAGAAGTGGGGCCTCACAACACCACACACTCTCCAGAGACTTACATCCTCTTTCATCTCCCACAAACCCTCTCCAACACAGACACACACCCCTGCCTTTCCCCTTCAGGCAAGCGACTATCCAAACACACGCAGGCGCCTCCAGAATCCAGGCATACACACAGACCCCTGCCACCTCAATCCATACCCACGGAACTTGGTACACAGGCTGCCCCCGCACACATATGCAAGCACCCCTCCTGCCAGAGAAGCAAGAGCAGCTCCAAAGGAACCAGTGGAGTTGCACTAGCATAAAACTTGTATAAGCAAGAGGAGAATCGGGTCCTTCATCTTCACACCACACTGGGATCTTCAGAGCAAATACAATCCGCAGTGCGTCTTCACCAGGCCAGACCTGGCAGGAAGCTGGATGGACAGACCTCACTGACTAGCTGCTTTACAAATGCTTCTTTGACACAGCCCTAGAGGCAGGCCTGCTAGTAGGGCTTGAGAGTAAGATTTGTGTCAGCATCAGCCAATGAGACACTCCATTGCCTGGGCCAGTCTCAGTCCCCTAGTCTCTCCGTGGTGCTTCACTGCCTCTGAAGACATCAATTCCCCAGCTCTGCAGCCTTACCGCACGGCTAACACTGGCATCAGGACCCCAGACCAGTCACTATCTCCCCCTCTGCACTAAGATACCAAACCGTGTGCTGGTGACTGATTAAGAATAAGGGTACCATTAAAATAAACTGAAGAAAAAAACAACCCCCAGGCCTAGAAACCAGAGCATCTAAAAATTTGTAACAGGAAAAACTTTAGACTTTGAGTCAAATAAAAACCCCCTAACAAACTTGTGTACAAGATAAGAAATGTTAACATGAAAGAATCCTATTGTGCTCTCCAAGACCCCCATCCTAAAATATTACGGGAAAGATAATATACACACACTGATGTATAACTTCAAAAATGAAGAATTGCTAATGATAGTATTTGAAAGCTTTGTTGGCTATATTTTTAATAAACTGAAATTATAGATAGCGAATAAATATATAGATAAGATAACACACTGGCCAAGGCTTTGCCTGGCATAAATGTATTTTTTTGTCAATTTCTTTTTCATACAATTTGATTATTTGTTTGAAATGATATTGTTGGCAAGATAAGTAATGGGTTGTGTTGGAAGATGTAAGTAAGAGATACAAACAGGTACTGTTATGATAAACAAACCCTCCCTTTTCTGGGAAACTTAAACAGGGGGGATCCAGGGCAACCCGACTCAGAAACGGCAAAGTTAGCAGGAAAAATGTAGACATTAGGTGATTAAAGCTTGTGCATGCTGAATGTACGGGTTATGTAAAAATCAATGGGTAATGTGTTGAATGCTGATTGGAGGAAAATTAGGTAATTGAGCATGTAAAAATGCGACAATACATGTGATACAAATACATGTGAAAATGGGACAAAATCTGAAGAAACGCCAGACCAAAAACTGAGGAACGAGACAGGACCAGACCAGGAGACCAGGGAAGATGATGACCATCATGGAGGAAAAGAGGACTTCTCAGTGTCCCGGAATGCGGTAACTTGGGCCCATTTACCTATATTCCGTCTTGTCTGTTATTACTTATCTGGCATAAATGTATGTCCAGACACTAAGTGACGACAATTCTATCTGAAATTGTATTAAACAAAGGCAAAACTGATTAAGCCTAAATTGGGTGGATGTGTGACTCAGTTTCCCATTCTACATTCCCAACAGTTCCTCAACTCCCTAGTCATTGACAAACCATCTGTCTCCCTCGTCAGTGCCACTACGAGATTTAATTAGTACCAACTGGCAAGGATACCAGGTAAGCACCACTGCAGTTATCTGTACCTGACTGGAGACTTTCCACGGCCTCCCATTCTTCCTGGGCTTGCAGCAACTCTGCGCTAGGATCTGGCAAAAGAGACAAGAAGAGGGTTAGCTACAGCTGGAACTCTCAGGCCAGCTGTTTGCTTTGTTTCTCCATCAGCCAGCAGATAAAAAGTGCAACAGTTCCTGTGACCTTACGCTTGGCCACCTTTGGGGTCTCATTTAATTTTCCGGTTTATCACAGACCAAGTTGGGCGCTCTCCGATATAAAGCTGAACAACAGCAGATTCCTTGACAGCTCCTGCCTTATCTGCTCCTGCCCAGAGGCCTGCAACAAACTCACCCAGTTCCACAGAGAGGAGAGAATATCAGCAAGCATAGAAGGAGATTGTGATTAGCTCTCTCAGGGGTGCTGCGGGTAAGGCCCTTTCTCCACTGCACACCTGCAAAAGGGCTAGTACAGGAAGTCAGAGGGGAATTCCACAGAGCCTTTTCATGTCCCACTCAGCAGCCTGACTTCCCCCACACCACCCCGGACACTGCAGAAGGGAAGTTCAGAGTACCACGTCTCTTCCATGAACAGGAAGAGGCCTGAACTGTGGGGGAAGAAAAACGAGAGCACAACCCCATTCACTTGATTGAGATTCCAGAGTTAAAAACGCCACTGACACAGCTCCCCAGCAGAAAGGCTCAGAATCATGGCTCTGAGACATTTGCTTAGTTACTAGACAGAAAAACTGGATGTTGCTTTGGGGAAACAGGACAACAGCAGACCCACACGTTGGAGACAGAATCTCAGAGCAGGCGGACAGGACAGAAAGCCTGACCGAAGCCTTGGAGCAATGCCATGAGGGGTCCTGGACGGTCTAGCGACAATGAGGAGAAATACTTGGCCAAGAGCATCAGGATCTTGACAATGTGAACTGGCCGAGGATAGTGAGATTTTGGCCAAGCCCACCAGCAGAACGGAGAGGATTCGCTCAGCAGGCAGAAAGAGCAGCGCCATGCTGTTACAGCCACTGTTGGAGCACGTCGGTCCCCTCCAGAATTGGAAAGCAACAGGATATTAAGTGGAAACATTCAAATACAGCTCACCAGCTTCCGTGCGCCCATTGGGTCCCTCTGCCAGAGCCTGCAGGAGCCCATTCTGCTTGAGCACCGAGATCTACGCAGAGAGAGAACAGTCAGGAGGAGCGATGCCCTTTACACCTCCTGTAGTTTTTAAAGGATTTTTTTTTCTAGCCCGATGTGCTGGGTGGCCCCAAACAGCAGCAGAGAAGTGGGGTCTTCAGCACAGAAGGGATCTTAAAGACCTATTTCCCTCCCTACACCTGAGGTCTCCTTGAAGCCATAATGACCTGTTCTCACTTTGGGAAATATCCCAGCATGCACTATTCTTGTTACGCCACAACACCACAGAAGATGTCCAAAGCCTGGTGACACACTGTGTGCGGGGTGGTGTCCAGGGAAACGAGGGAACCCTTTGAAGGTTCTCTGTGGCTAGCACAATGTGATACCCTCCCAGATCCTCCACAAGCCAAGAGACAAACTCGCAACAGCTACACAGACCTCCTGGATTGTTCCCCCAGTAAAGAGCCCACAGCCACCACTCTGCTCACCCATCACAGGTTTCCCCAGCATTCCCATGCTGGAGCTGCTTGAGTTCACCCTTTCCCCTGCCATGAGACAAGCTGCACAGGGAATGGGGTAGCCAGTCAGGGAGAAATAGTCTGCCCCTCATCATAAGAAGGGTTTGTAGAGGAATGGTGTCGCTGCTGGAGGAAATGGGTTAGCCCACCTAAGACAAGCTGGTAAAGGAACAGGGGAGCACCTTGGAGAGTTTGGATCTATCCCCCACATCCCCCGTGAAAAGAGCTGTTTGAAGAACTAGGGAGGCCCTTGTTTAGGCCTCCAGAAAAGCCGATATAGAAGGGCAGCTGGGCCTAAGCTAGCGTGCTTTCTGGTACAGTAACTCCTCACTTAACGTTGTAGTTCTGTTCCTGAAAAATGCGACATTATGCGAAATGATGTTAACCGAATCCAATTTACCCATAAGAATTAATGTAAAGGGGGGGGGAGGGTTAGGTTCCAGGGAAAATTTTTTCGCCATACAAAAGGCATTATATACATATACAATATAAGTTTTAAACAATTGTAAACAAACAGTTTAATATTATACACAGCAATGAATGATTGTGAAGCTTGGTTGAGGTGGTGGAGTCAGAGGGTGAGATATTTCCCAGGGAATGCCTTCCTGCTAAATGATGAACTAGCACTCGGCTGAGCCCTCAAGGGTTAATATGCTGTTGTTAATGTAGTCTCACACTCTACAAGGCAGCCTGGACTGAGACAGGAGGGAGGAAACACAACAGATGTAGGGCAGTAGCTGCAAACACTTCCCTGCAAAAACGGAACATGATGATGAGCCCACGCTATCCAGCTGGAGCGCACCACTCCCTCCTCCTGACAGCACACGCACAGCTGCACAGGTGCTGACTTTCCAAAGTGCTGGGGGTGCATGCATGAGTGAGAGATGTGCATTGCCCCTTTAAGTATGCCCACCCCACTTCCAGTACGTTGCCCTTTTAAGCAGATCAACCAGTTCAGACAGGAAGCAACAGCTTCCAGCAAGCTCCCTCCTTTCTGTCCCTGAGCCCTGTCCCCCTCCTCTGCTTTGTGGAGAGGGGGTACAAAGCGGGGGTGGGGGCGGGGGGCAGGAGCAGGGGGACAGCCTGCTATCAGCACCCCTCTCCCCCCCCATCCCCCAACAAACAGGAAGCTCCCGGGAGCAGCTCCAAGGCAGAGGGCAGGATAGGAGCAGCAGAGCAGTGGGGGGGAGGGACAGCTGAACTGCTGCTGGGCAGCTGCTGAGCCACATACCTTATAGGGAATTTAGGGGAGCTGACGGAGGGGGCTGCCGGCCCCCCTGGTTCTAATCCCCACAAGGAGAGGCTGCTCTTCCAGAGAATCCTGCAAGCAGTGGACAGAGCAGGCACCTGCCAAACAACGTTATGAGGGAGCATTGCACAACTTTAAACAAGCTTGTTCCCTAATAGATCAGCAACGTAACAACGTTAACCAGGACAAGGTTAAGCGAGGAGTTACTGTATCACATTCAAGCATGTACGCAACAGGTTTGTGCTTTTTGACAACTGCAAGTCCCAGGCCCGACACCGGCACCATGTGCACCAGTATCATGTCACAATGAGCCACAGTATGATAGTGCTCACGCCTTTTGCAAACACTGAAAGTTAGGGAAGAGTACAGTCCATACCACTTTGTATATGCATACACGGGGACAGTGGTGCCATGAAAGCCCCTGATGGAAAACAAACAAACAAACAAACAAACAAACAAACACACAAACACACACACACACACACACACACACACACACACACACACACACACAGACTTTCCCAACTCTTTGTGCAATTACAATTAATTCCTAATGTTGCCCATCATGCAGATCTCTGCACATAATATAGAGAGACGTGTCTAATGCTAGAGTTTAGTCTCAGGCTGCTGAAAAGTATGAGAATATCTGAGATACGCACAGGTATGGATTTGACAGCCGGAGGAAGGAAGATACCTTGCTCTTCAGACTGGTGGGTGTCTGCGGTGCATCTGTTCATGCCCTAATGAAACAATGAAATCAAAGTCACCAGGAAACAAACCACCAGTCACTTCCTAAAGTAGCCCGAGTTCCTGTAATGCACATATAATACTGACACAGTGCAAGCATCGAGTTTGGTGTTCTGGCAGATACAATCAAATGGAAAGGAAATAAGAAAAATTGTTAACATGAAAATTTCTCCTCATTTTCAAAGTTTCAGTTGCTTTAACTGCTGTTTCTTCTGTGTGTGCGTTTAATGAAAGAGTAAAAGCTAAGTACTCTAAGGAAAAGTTCAAACCACAAATAACTTTCTAATGTTGTTACAATAAACAAAAGTCTGTTTAAATCTGTGTTTCCCACAGTGTGGGGTGTGCATAAAGTGCAAAGGACTAGCCCGGGTCTGCTAACAGACCTCTCATTTGTTCTTCAAAGTCTCAGCTTTCATTTTTAAAAAATATTAAGTCTCCAGTTGTTATGGTTGCAAAAAAAACCAAAACAAATAAACAAACAAAACCTTCAAAACATGACCTCCGTGTAAATAATATAGTGATACATGCCTGAGTTTGCAGAGAGTGTAATTAGCTCTGAGGTGTGGATTGTCTCATTCATTCATAAAATTACTTCCAGAATTTTACTGAGTGTCAGCAGGGAGTATCTTCCATTGAATTCCAAAGCAATGGATATGCTGTTATCCCTTGCAATGCCGCTGAGACAAGATTCTCTTTTGTAGCAGTCTTCAAGACCAAATACTTTACCCAAGTCAGCAGCAGTGAATGGGAACTACATGTCACCCTCTCAAAAATAAAACCTAGGTTTGCAAAGCTGTGTGCTAAAGAATATGGTCATGCATCCTGGCAAATAGCTTCAGGGCTGCCTCAAGATGTTTTGTTAGAGAAAACATTAATGTTGTCACTTAACAAATAACTACTAAAAATCACTTAAGTAAGAGCTAGTCTATGCTGCAAAAAGTATCAGGGGGTAGCCGTGTTAGTCTGTATCTACAAAAACAACAACAACAAGGAGTCTGGTGGCACCTTAAAGACTAACAGATTTGGGCATAAGCTTTCGTGAGTAAAAACCTCACTTCTTCGGATGCATAGAAGTGCATCCAAAGAAGTGAGGTTTTTACTCACGAAAGCTTATGCCCAAATAAATCTGTTAGTCTTTAAGGTGCCACCAG